AGTAGCAGGTCAAGTATTTGAATGAAAGCTGCAGATTGTGTTTAGTGGAAGTAACAAGAACTGTCTCTGGTAAAAGACGAGTTATTGTTGAATTTTCTAAATGTCATTTTTAATGTTGTACCGGACCAACAAAGTCAGTTTCTTTTCTCAAATAGAATAAAATAGAAAGTCTTTATTGTCATTGTGGTGAAGCTTTTAGCGCATAACAAATACAGAAAGTCACTGGTAGCGGCCTGATTGCACTGTAGACCTATTATTCAAAGATTGTGTTGGCTGTAGTTGGGATTTGCACAACTAAAGTTGAAATTTGTGCCATAATTTCCGGACTATTGAGTGCACCTGAATACAAGCCGCACCCACTAACTTTAAAAAGAAAAACCAATGTGTACATATACAGGCTGCACTTGTCTATAAGCTGCAGGTGTCCACGTTGTAACATGAGATATTTACACAGATTTTTTCGAACCTTTAATTAAATACGTACCGGTAACATACACAAATACGTAAATGCTTTTTTCCCCAACAGGTCCTGTAACACGGCTGGTTAAGAAAATAAAACATACAGCAGCCTACCAGGAAAAGTCATTGATCGCTATCTTCATCTTCCTCCTGCACTAAAACCACTAAAGTCGTCTTCTTCAGTGTCGGTGTGGAACATCCTCACACACTTCCTCAGTCTCTCTTTCATTGTCGCTCTCAATGTCACTTTGGTCTCGAGGCAAATTCGTAAAAATCATAAAAATCCATAAATTAGCTGCATCATTGTTCAAAGCGTGTGAAAAAAGTAGCGACTTATAGTCCAGAATTTACAGTAGTAAAAAAAGGGGAGTGTTGAGCCGCTATCCTGTGTACATTCACTTGAGTTTTGGTTTAAAAAAAAAAAAAAAAAAAATAGACTTTTCTTTTAGGATGTGAGAGAAGTCTAGTTTCTTTTTTACTGCAGCTGCTATAATTATCATGACCCGTATGACTGAGAATCTACACAAACATTTACCTCTGTTGTTTTGGTGACATCTTAGAGACAGGTTGGCCAACTGGAAACCTTCTAAACAGCCTGATACTGCAAATAGAAAGCACATTCTCAATCTTCCTTATCGTCTTTTGTCGCATCTAAAAGCACAGTAGTAATGCACCGCAGCTTTTCTGGTATGCCCAAGCACAGTGCAGTATCAGTGGTGGTATGTGCACCAGCCACTTCCTGGGGGCAGTAGATTGTGTCTTCTTTGTTATGCTGGTCTGTCGCCTCCTTTTTATCTGCTCACGTGATGAGATAAGTTTCATGTGTACGGAGATACCATGGCCGCAAATGTAATTTCATTCAAACAGTTAAAACCTTCTGCAGATATCCACTTGACACAGGAGAAGGAAGTGTTGTGGTTCTGCAGTGGAAACAGTATTTGGATTTTTGCTGAAAGTGAAGATGTAAATTTCATCTCCGTTCACAATGATTTCACTGTCGAAACTCCGACACTGTTTGTTTTTGATGTGAGTCGCCTGTTCCTACTGAAAACACTGCTTCCGTCTCCAGTGTTTGGATAAAACACAGATTACAATACAGACCTAAACAGTTTTACAGAACCAGCCGTGTGTTTCCTCCTACCAGGTCATCAAAAGGTCTCAGGGCCTGGATGAGATTTTGGCCCGTTTGGACCCTCAGACTGCCAGCAACCACTTTGCAGCCATTCAGCGCTGGAAAACAAAGAGAGACGTGGCCTGTCCACGGAGAGGTAGATAGCAAAGCTTGACTTGGCAGTAAAACCACCGTATGTCTTGTTCTTCTGATCTACTGTAAATTTAAGTTGGCTACACCTGTGTTTATTTAATTTAACAACTCGTTTCAGTCATATTTTAGGAGGTGAACCAGCACTTGAAGCTGTTTTAGATCAGTAGGAGTTCATCAGTTTGATCAGAACTGAATGCATTTCCTTTGTGAACGTAATATTTGCGTGTTTTGATCTGTCAGGAGCGTTCCTGCTGTTTTCTCAGAAGAAGCTGGCAAAGCTAAAACAGCTTGAACTCGAAGCTCCGCCTGGTGCCACCAGAGATCCGGCGGTACTGCAGGTATTTATGCACAACAGCATGAAAATGTCGAGTCAGTTTTGTTGCCACACACTGTCCTAGCAGCCTCAGCACACACACTTGTAGAGACCATGTATATCCTATTTGCCGTCTTGAGTTTCCAAGGATTTCTTCAACCCATAATTTTCATTGGATTCAGTGAAACACATGCGTCTCTGTCACAACAAAGCAATCATGCATTCTTCTAGAAAAATGAAAACAACCTGCTGGGTCAAAAGAGCACACACAGCTACTTTAATGATCAGTTCTGAGATATAGAAAGCTGTGGCATGGTCTCATAACATCTGGTAAGTGATTACAGTTGACTACAGCTGGTGACTCCTATCAGACTCACCAGCTATGAATATGCCCTTACGTAAGGCCTGTTGGATCCACACATTACACTCAGCCACAAACACCACAGCAGGAAAGCCTGAGGAGCTCAACAAAGTCCTGATAAAGCAAATCACTGCCCTGAACAAGTCAAGAAAGTAACTTGGAGCCATTTCAGAGATGCTTCAGATTAAACAATTGTTTGTTTGCATAAAGTTCATGGTACAGTTGTGTCACTGCCACGATCAGGAAGAAAACACAAACAATCACCTGATGCTGAAAGACAGCTGGTCAGGATGGTCAGTATTTGTCGTAACTGATAGTTTTTTGTGCCAAAAATGCAAAGACCATCATAGAAAATTCAGAGCCGTGAGACTCGTAGGAAGCTGCCACCGTGTACATGGTCTGCACAAGAGCACGTAGGCTTTTGTTGACGACTGTGCAGGACCAGGTGGCCGCTGACCTCTGATCTCATCGAACCAAACTGGACTCTGCTTCCTCCTCAGCTCGTACAGCAGTGGCTCGACCTGGACGAAGCCGGCAGATCGAAATACTGCAGGAAGTCCTCCCGCTGCCCTGAACCCTCGCTGGGCTTGTTAAGGCCTGATGTCTGCTTTGGATCAGTGTCTGAAAACTTCCACAGCATCACAGAGAAATACCTGCAGAGCAGAGGCAGCGAGAGCGAAGACAGCGTGGACACACACAGGTACTGAAAAGATATGGTCCAGCTGTATGGAGATGAAACATCTGAGTCATGAAATCCAAGTGAACACAACATTTCACACTTGCAAAATTCAGAATTTTTAACTTTTTGTTTTGTCTTCCTGGTCCAAAACAAGACCAGTGTTGCCATAGCTACTGAAAACCTTCCTCATTTTTGACTACGACTTGTCCACAGTGCAGCATGTTAGAGGAACACATAAGATAACCGTATAATCATGATATTTAAAAAATAAACTGTTGATATCATTATACAGATAGTGTCTTAAATAATCCAGTGTTAGTGTCTCGTTACACTCCAATATTGGACCGACAACATACAGTAAATTCATGCTTACAGACTCTTTCTCCGCCTCCAAAGAGACAAAACACACAGTCAGCAAAGATGGATTTAGCAATTTTTAAAATCAATTTTCAAGAGACATTGCGAAAATTTTTCTATCATGACTTCTTTTGAGCATCATAATGTGATGTCGTGACAGCACTAACAGACTTTAACTTCACATTTTGAAATCAAACATCAAGAAAAAAATTTAAGAGGGAAAAAGAAGATTAAGAAAGCTTAAAAAGAATTGTTCCTCACTGTACCTCCCTCTTTTTTTTCAGAAATAAACACTTTACATGGAACCAAAATGAGCTTTTATAAAAATTAACTGAGCTTAAAATTGATTATTATACAGTCATCAATCATAAAACCTTTAAATATACATAAATATAAGAAGCAGTATATTTTTGCTGTGCTGCAAAAAAAAACCCATATTGTTCAGGGGGGTTTTTTTGGTTTTTTTTTAAAGTGTACTAATAGATAAATAAGACACCATCACTGTCTCTCTGTTTATAAAGACTGGAGCGTACCACCCAAAGCTGAAGCAGAAATAACAACTGCATTCTTATCACCTTAAGTCAAAGCTTCTTTATTTAGTTTCACCAGTGATGCCTGAAAACACCCAGTTCCTGTTTCATTAACTTCACCAACGAGTCCAACTTAAGATCTACGTCCTCCCTTCATGACGGTTTGAACTGTTTGAGTTGTAGTTAAAGGCATTTTTAATGTTTTCTGTTATTTGTCTACATCTCTGAACTTTAGACACCATAATCTGCACACGTGTCTTTATTTTTATGTTTTATGTCATGTTGTGTTTAGTTTTATAGTTTGTACAGCAAAGGTTTGAAAGGAGCTACAGAAATAAAGTTTATTAGTAGTAGT